AGCAAACATATATCAGAGCTAACACGACATTAGCACTAAGTTTAAGCAAGTATTTCAAACATATCTGAGATGACAGCAGGAAACTCGTCGCTTTTAGTTTAGGCATACAGAACCATTTTTCGCAAGACTAACGCAAACAAAACCGACTTTTGACACCCACGCAGAAATCAGCCACCAGTATCTCAGTTTGCATTAAGGTTCAAAACTTTATCACGATTACCCTGCTGTATGCGTGGATATGTACATTTTCTCAGTTGGGCTCGGTAACATCAGAAAAGATTAGATCAAATATTTAAAAAAAAAACAATAACATCAGGAATTTGCTTGTAACGCTTGAAAAAAAAGAAAAAAGAAAATAGTATAATTATTACACTAAAGTTGAGCTATGTCAAAATATGACGAAACCAAACGAAATGCATTATCTTTAAGTTAGCAAATTCAAAATAAACACATGCGTCATGCTTGGGTCCGTCCAATGCGTAATATCGTAAGCGCGGTAAAAAACAAAACAAAAAAGGAAAGACAATTCCTTTATTCATTTTTCACTTTTTAAATGCCCCTTCTTATTATGTGATGTGATTTTAAAAAATATAATTTAGGTATTTTAGAAGATTAACTCTAGTAAATAGAAGATTCCAGTGCACGCCGAGCCTAAAAATATCTTTTTAAATATATCAGCATGTGACAGAACATAGCCTCAAGTAGGGTTTTTCAAATAAAATGCTCTTTATTCGGACTTTTGTAGAATAGTATTAACCGTGAAGCCGAGTGTCCCTCTAGCAAAACACAAATAGAAGCTCACGTTTAGTTCCTCTAGAATTTGTTCAGATAGACTCGCTTCACTGTTCCTCTGCTTAAATGGTTTCCAGGTCTCTCTCTCTCTTTCTCTCTCTCTGTGCTTTTTAGGGCGTCGAAATAACACATGGGAGCTGAATGCAGTAGTCACTATACTGAGCGATTTCTTGTGATGTGCAATCATTTAATACTTCTAATAAAAAAAAGAGCGTTAACACATTGTTGTGAAAGCTTTATGTCCTTGTGGTTGAAAGTGAAATACACTCTGGAGATTGCTCTAAATGTAACAGCAACACACAGCCTTATCTTGTCAGCTATTGTTGTCACCACAAACGCTTTACGCTAGGTGCACTCACGGAGATCTTAGTTTAAAAAAAAGAAAAAAGAGTGAGACAAGAAAAACAAGCCTCTTTAGTGTTGCCTGGAACTCTTCACAGCTCATACAGGGAAGTTTAACTGCCCGGCTTACATCCAATTAAACTTATCTAGGCCATGAGGGGACAGTAATATGATTACGCAGGCTTCCCACATTTAGCCTTGACTTCAGCTAACTGTAGAGCAGTGTCCTGGTAAACTGCACCCATTGTGTATTTGTGTGTGTGTGTGTAGCTCTGTGTCTGTGGTGAAACTTGTATCTTTTGGCAATGGCTTTATCGACACTTTGGCGCAACCCCTTTCTTTCTTTCTTTTTTTACAAGAAGGTGACGCCTAGGCTAACAGTTGTAATTTCGGTGCTAGGTAGCAACACATAGCTTAAATTCCTCAGACACAGCTATAACGGTGCTTTGACAGTGATATTTAAGGGAGTATTAGCAAAGCACCAAACTGAACATTGTGTCTGAAGACGACTGGAACGGGCACTTAAAATGTTCTCATTGTCTGAGTTGTTTTTAATTAGAATTATAAGGAGACATATCTGGGATACAGGCCATTTTGCTTTAAAACTCTGCATACGCTTTGCCTGCTCATTTGGTGCAGCCTTATCAAACTTTCCTGGGTCCTACTGCTAGCGGAATTTGTGCTCCGGCTCCCACATCCAGTGAAATAAACACATGGTAAATCCTATTCTTTCACTTTTGTTCCTTGCGAACCAAGGTGAAAGCAGTCAGTGTTTGAACCCCAGGAAGCGGATATTGCCAAGTGATGGACGCTGGCTGGTCATATTTTCCATATTATGACAATTACCGCAACTTAAATGCAACCAGGAGTGCCATTTTCCATTTGTTTAAATGTAGAAATAGTTCTTGAGTCCAGAGAAGCCTTTCTGTGTTTCTGTTGTCGTGATCAGCAGCTTTAACCTTTAAATTTTATTAGTGCATCGCTTATTCATACCCTCGCATTACTTATTTATGCCGGGCTATTACGCATCATTGAAATGATTATGATGAGGAAATGAATTGACAGTATTGTTTTTGACTGTCTGCCTCGATTCTGTTATTGCCCGCTGAAAGGAAAGTTTGGAGTTTTTATTTATTGTTTTTTTAAATTATTATTCATTCTTTATTTCTTGGATGATATAAGAATGATATAAGGATGCATTTTAAATGTCATAATTCAGAACCCTTTTTACAGCCAAGGCCAATTAGTATGGCGGCTTTTCGGGTTTTAGAAATTCAACTTCAAATGCAAGTCTTGGGTTTATTTTTATTATTATTATTAATCACACAGTGCACTATATATTTCATAGTGTTAATATTGGAAATGACATTTTGATGCGCGAATTATTCTTGTTGTTGCACAGCAGCACAACAGTAATGGAGCAGCATGTGTCAAACATGTGTCCATATAGGCCACAGGGCCAGTGTGTTTACACAAATATTTCCAGAGCTGTGATTGTTAATGAGAAAAAAACAAATACACCAGCCGGGCTTCATGCATCACAAATAAATTCTTATTGTCTTTTTCTTTTTGCTTATCTCAGTATATTTTATTCGGAGTAATTTTTATTAGATATTTTGCCTCGCAAACGTCCCAAACGCCAGATTTGAAACTTTTATTCCGATATTCGTGGAACAAAAGACCAGATTTCTTAAATATGTGCGTGAGTCGAAGTAAAAAAAACCCCCAAACATAAATAAAAAATCAAGCTGAAATTAATCTCGCTGCCTCTTTGTAGAAAGGTTGCACAATATCCACTTCCTGAAATCCAAATTCCTCTCATTCTCAGCGTTTATGGTTTTCTATGGAACAAAGGGATTTAGCGTTACTACAGCCATTCGCAGTTTTATGGTGGACGTAGAGAGGATTTTAGTGGTCAAATTCAAGTGCTGTGTCTGGACAGCTGTCTGCTTTCTTTGTACTTGGATTCAGGATGCATCATGTGAGGCAACCTTTTGTCTGTAGGGGTAGTAAACAAGCTAATGCCATTGCCACGTTTTCACAAATTCGCCTGCAGTGGAAGCTCACTTCCAATGCTTGGGGTCGGATGATGTTGCTTCTTCTTCCCATTGCTGTCGGGAATCACCGAAGTCACTAACTTTCTTTGAAATTATATATGTATAGCAACACAGGTGTCCCCTAAGATACGGCAACAGAACGATATTGTGTTATTGGAAAATTGGGTAATAATTTGAGAGTATATTGCAGCGTTTAGGAAGCAGCCTATAATCATAAACAATGGGCCATCATATTAATTTCACCTTGAGATAGTATCAGTTAGTCTATAAAGATTCTGAGATGGCCCTCAACAGTACAATTAAAAGTTTACAATGACGCAGGAAATCACACGCAGGCGCATCTTTTCTCCAAACAATTCATTTTATTGGAATTTTTTTAAAGTTCGAGGAACACGTCCCTGTCTGTCACGCACAGATGAATGTCGACATCCTGGTGAAAATAAAATAATCAGAGCAGCTTGGACCATCAGCTGGGACTTATTTAATTTTAGAGGGAAACGTCGGATGCACTCCTACTACTCGGTCAATAGGCCTTTAAGTAGCGCAGCGCATTACTGAACAGACTAATACTTGCTCTGCTCTGCATCTTATAGATACTTATAGAAGGATTTTAATGCCAATAAAGTCCAACCACACCTTTTCCAAACTTATAAATCAGAACATTTTGAAAGTGTGAGCTATTCAACACATTGAATATTCTGAGGAGTGTTGCCAATAACCACTCCAAACTGGAGTAATGCTAAAGCCAGTCATCTGAGGTACTAATTATTTGTGTATGTGTGTGTGTGTGTGTGTGTGTGCGCGCGCGCGCGAGTGTGTGTGCGTGCGTGTGTGTGTGGGTGTGTGTGTGTTTACATATATTGGGGCACACTTTTGGTCCGAGTTAGATGCATGGCCCATGGTTCTGCAGGGATTCCAGGATCGAGGTCTTGAATTGTCTGATTGTCTTCTATGAACTCATCCAGAGTCAAATGGAATAATTAGTGTGGACCGAATAACTTGCTCAACCAACATGCCTTACCTTGTAGTGTAATTACGGTTTCCTTCCCCGTTTTTCATTTGATGAACCCTAAACAACTGAACGGCAAAGTAATGCAATAGGGTGCTGCATAATTTTAAAAACATAACCATGAATGATTCAGACATTTGTTTATTAATCACGATTTTATGTGCAGAGAACTCGGATAAGCACCTACGAGTGGAAATGCATCAAAAATAAATAATAGCTCATAATCTTCTTAAAAAGCGTAAAAAGAGTCATTTGCTGTGATTTGTGCAACTTTTTATAAATTCTGAAGCGCTGACTGAGCTCATGGGGCTGCTTTTTAACGGGCTCATGCTTTATATGGGCTATATTCTCTGTGATTGCTAATCACCATCCTCCTTTCTTTTGTGTTGTGTGCAAGATCAGTATTCATAATTTGCAATTCATTGGTCAACACTTTTACATTGCTAGTAATCCAGTAGTACTCACTCGTGAGAGTGAGCGTAATTATTGCAATGATAATATTAATTGTAATAATCTTACCTGTAAAACGCCATAACACTATGAAAAGCATGCCATTGAGTGGACTCTGCAGTTTGTGCTATGCCTTTTTAAGGAGCTGTAGCTGTTTAGCTAGCCTACCAGCAGCCCATAAACATAAACATGCACAGCACATATCTTTCTAATTGTCATAAGCCAACAAACAGGAATCTGTTACTGGTTTTCTTAGTGGTCCCGTGGTGTTTGGAAATTATTCGTTTGAACCTCCTCGATCTTACCTAAAGCCAACCACTCCTACACATCCAACTCTTCCAAATTGATATATGACAATATCTACTTTCGATCACGTGTCTGCGGGGCGACTTAGACGGATTGCGCGTCATCTCGCCTTCCCAAATTTTCCCCTTCTGCTGCAGCTCCTATCCAAAACATCTATCTATAGTACGGAGCACGAGAGAGAGAGAAAGATGTTTAACTCGGTGAATCTGGGCAACTTCTGCTCCCAGACGCGCAAAGACCGGACATCCGAGTTTGGGGACAGGACGGGCTGTGCGTCCAATATCTACCTCCCCAGCTGCACCTACTACGTCCCCGAGTTTTCTGCCGTCTCCTCGTTTCTTCCACAGGCCCCGTCCAGACAAATCAGCTACCCCTATTCCACAAATCTGTCTCAAGTGCAGCCGGTACGGGAAGTTTCATACGGCTTGGACCCTGCTAGTAAATGGCACCACAGAAGCAACTATGCGTCGTGCTACTCGGGAGAGGATCTGGTGCATAGAGACTGTCTTCCACCATCCACCATGACAGAAATGCTTATGAAGAACGAGAGTGTGTACAGCCACCACCATCACCATCACACTCATCCGGGCTCCAATCACCCTTCCACAGGTTTTTATTCCGGCGTGGGGAAAAACAATGTCCTCCCGCAAGGTTTCGATCGCTTTTTTGAGACGGCGTACTGCAGCAGCACGGACAATCAGTCAGACAATTGTTTACAAAAGGGCGAAGGGGAGAAGCTGGAAAGCGACTCCCAACAGCAGCAGCAGCAACAACAGCAGCCCACAGCGTCTGTACCCGGAGCCGCGGAGCAGGAAAAAGACCCAGAAGATGAGGAGGAACACACAAATTCAGGCTCATGTACGTCTTCCTCTGCAACAACCAAGGACGGCAACGCCAGCAAGAGCAGCCACTCGAGTAGGTATACCGAGCTGTAAAATGGGGGAAGGTTAAGGGGACTAACCCGGTGTTTTGTCGGTCAGATTTTATGTGGAGTTTTATAAGCATTCAAACGATTTTATTATAACCCTACAAAGCTCTTTCTTGCAACGAGAAGAATTTTTACGATGGGAAAGCGCTTTGAAAAAAAGGGGATGTTATACACAGACGCCTCAATGGTGAGAGTCTGTGAAATTTTTAAGAGAGAGCTATTGTGACAAATGTTAACTTTGATCATGAACTTGCGTTGGGCATTTTAAGGGATTTTCTCGTTGGGCTGTCGGGAGTAAAAACCAATTGGGCAGAACATTGCTTTTGGCGTCTTGTGAATTTTCTTTTAGTACAGGGTTTGCTCGCAAAAGACATGCTGCGAAGAGTATTACACACTTTACGGTTAAATGCGTTCTATCTATCTATCTATCTATCTATCTATCTATCTATCTATCTATCTATCTATCTATCTATCTATCTGATGATAGATTAGAAGCGTTTCCTTCATTTACGAGCATACTTAATCGTGTTTTCCCTTGTATGTGGAGATTGCGTAGGCTGCACATTATTCCACTTCCCCACAATCCGCTGGAAAAAGCTTAAATTCATTAATGTGCATGTTTCCTTCCGCACATTAGGCTTCTTTTCTCCTAATGATTTGCACGAGGTCGCCTGTCATTTCTATTAATAACTAACTTCATCTAAAAAAATAAATAAAATAAAAAAATCTAAAAATGGATTTTATTTTTAAAAGGAAATTTTAGAGATTTGGTGCTTGTGTTCAAAACACATTTAACCTCATGTGCATTGTTTTAGCTCAGCTAGGGAACAGACACAAGCTGAGACCGGTGTTTAGCCCTCTTTCACACACACATAAAAAACAATAAAAAACACACACATTTCCCTGGTCAACTGTTTGATAAGACGTTACAGGGCCACAGAGGTCTTGGTATGGCATTGCAGGCAAGGGCAGTGCATTTAAAGCCACTGCCAAAAGATTGTGTAAATTGTTAGTTTAGCTCCAGGGGAATGTGGCGCACATAATGCGGTGAAATACTTTTGTTGTTGTATATTTATAACAGATAAACACGTACTTAAAGGCTGTAAGTTGATATTATTTACTCCAAGCGATTCGGATATTTAACACTCTTTATGGTTGGTTTATCTGATAGCTTCAGCCAGTTCACCAGATGAATGCTGACTGAAATGTTATCAGTACTAATGCCACTGAAACTGAATTCTTAGCATCTGGCAAGTCTGTCGCCTCTTCAGCACTTAAGCTTGCTGTGACCCCCTTTAAAAACGCATTGCTCTTGTTGTTAATTAATGTAACGCCGCTGATCATTTTCCGTGACAGCTCGACTTTATTTTGAATTTTATTTTTCACTTTTATTTCTTCTCCAGGCGCTCCTCGAACAAGGAAGAAGCGGTGTCCATATTCCAAGTTTCAGATTCGAGAGCTGGAGCGGGAATTCTTCTTTAACGTTTACATCAACAAAGAGAAAAGGCTTCAACTTTCCCGAATGTTAAACCTCACCGACCGCCAGGTTAAAATTTGGTTTCAGAATAGAAGAATGAAAGAGAAGAAGCTGAGCAGAGATCGCCTCCAGTACTTCTCTGGAAATCCCCTATTGTGAGCAGGAGCAGAGAGTGTCACAGTGTGGGACGGTGGCATTTAGGCCCCCTCTTATCTCACTGAGTTGTCACTGTGGGCATACCCATTTTCTAAGGCAGCCCACATCACCAACAGTGCAATGCTAAAGCGGACAGTGGCAGAAATAGGCCTGCATGGGATAAAAATCGCCATTTTCTTATAGCCCTACGGGCGGCGTTGAATTTCTAGCTGGTCCCCAGAAAAAGGCCTACACGATTAGAATAATCATTTATATGCTGTTCTTGAATATGTCCCTCTATTTATCATGATCCTTCATTGTGTTTATTCTATTGTTCACATATTTGTTAAAAACAATATGAAATATAACAAGCTTTTTGAATCCTTTATTGCGCAGACAACTTTTAGCTCTCATCCCCAGCTCTGGTCTTTGTATATAGCTTATCCCCATCTAATTATTTCTTTACCGGAGTACGAGCAAATTATAGGAAATCTTTAATTAAGCTGCATATTTCGCCATTGAGAACTGTGACGTCCAATCTGTGAAAAAAGTATATCCCCCTGTACAGAGTAGCCTATGCAATGTGCTATCATGACTGTAAATAACCGTATGTTGAATTTCCTTTCCGCTATCCCTGCTGCTATTTTTTCAGTACAGTGCCCATTCAACTCTAACAGCTTTAACGCCAACACTTGTTAAATTATTTGCTTAAAGCGTTGCTGCTTTCGATTCCAGAGAGGAGGAGCAGATTGTCGGCCTGTGTATCATTAACATAATACCTATGAAATAAACAGAAAATCTATAGGCAAATCACAACGACTTTGTGCTGTTTGTCTTTTTAATTACTACCCTTACCAGTGATGTGTGCATTTATTTGTTACTTTGTCTTGGTCGTGAGTCAAAACCTTTTGGAAATACCAACTGCTCATAAATGTGTGTATAACCTAACGCTGCTGGCTTGCACACATAACATGTGCACACTTTAAACCTCTGTTAAATGCCAGTTCACGAGTCTACGCGCATTTGGTGCGGTGGATTTGGTGTCGATGGGAAAATAAGGAATAGTGGCTACACGTGAGGGCTTTTTGACAATTTTAAGGTTACATCGGTGTAAAAAGGATTATGTTTGAATTTTAGCACAACTTTAAAAAAAAAAGAAGAAAAGAAGTAAAGCTCAGATCTTAGAAATGTAGAGAAGAAGGGTTCAATGATAACCTCTTTTAGTGGCCACTAAATGGAATCGCCACTCTTGTAGTCTAGACACTGCCATAAAGACACAAGCACTAAATGCCTATTTTTTCTCTTAATTGCACCGTCTGTTCGGGGGGAATGGCGTTCACTTCCGCAGTAAATAGTAAACAAGCAGGACTACATGTCCGGGGAGCGTTGCAAAGAGGTTTCGACATGACATGACATGACATAGACCGACTATGTCTGTCTATATATATATATATATGTGTGTGTGTGTGTGTGTGTGTGCGGGTGTGTGTTTAGTTTGTGTGCGTGTACGCTAAACATATGCGCATGATGATTGCACGTGTGCATTAAGTACAATTTATAATTAAATGTAGTCTTTGAACTTCCATAATGTCAAGGCCTTCACCTTTAACCCGATGCAATAAAGTGGAATCAAGGAGCCCCTTTAGCCCGGAAATGTGTGCAGCGGCGGAATGGGCCAATAAGAGTGAGTGGGAACAGAAAATGGAATGTGTACAGAGAACAACTTTGACCCCTCGCATTAAACTACAGCAGGTAACTTTGCCAGCTTTAGCACGTCCAGTAAATACACTTTATTGTCCTTGTAAAATGTATACGTTTTCACGCATGAGGCGTTTTAAAACATTTTGGTGTAAACTGTAGATCTGGATTTGTATTCTCTAAGAAGAGAAAACGTGCTGGTGTGTGGCTGTCCCAGTGTATTTGTCTTAATGGGAGGTTCTGTAAGTGCAAACATGACGGTTTGTGAGTGCGTGGGTGTGTGGTCCTTGTGAGTCAGTCTACCCTTTGATTCTTGACTTAACAAAAGACTGCACGGGCTGTTCTGCTCAACAGAAATATTACCGCACCGTTTGCACGTTGTTGTGTTTCCTCCCATTGGTGTGATTTTGGTTATTTTCGGAAATAAGGTTTTTCTTCAAGTTAAAAACGGTTTAAAGTGGGAAAAGGGGGTGGGGGGAGTAAAAGGGATGACCGGCGCTTTTTTGTGCATCTCTTTAGAAGGTCATGTATTTTATCTGCATGAAGTGAAATCAGACTTAATCTGCCCGTCTTAGTATATCATCAGGGATGACAGGGGGCTGTTCTGACTCAAGAAAGACGAAGCACGCTAGCCGACCAGATCAAGGCTATACCAGCCCCTCTTCGCCACACCCACCAACCTTGGCCCTGGGACAGTGACGTGGTAATTTGTAGGTTTCTCCAACACCCAACGTCACTAACAGAGAGTGCTGCAGAGTCTTCTGCAGATGTTGTCTCTCAGCCACACGGGGGCCAGGACTCTCCCGGCCTCTGAACTGCTTTGTTTCCTCAACGGGATCTTGAAAACGTTTCCTGATATAGATGCCTCGGTGACATCACTGTAGTATTATTAGTTGTAGTAGCAGACATCAGTTTTGGCGATGTGTGACAATCCACTGTGCTGGAATGCGGCTCTTGCCATGCGTCAGTCTGGCTTGTGCACTTGGGTGTTGCGGTGAAGAAAAACATGGCGGTTTGTTTCATTTAGAGCAGAGGAAAGAGAAAAGAGACGATGTAGCCTGGGTCCATTATTATGCCCGAGGAAATATATTTAATTCGCCTTCATAATAAGTAATATTTTTGTGCCAGAAAACTGGTAATAAGATCATGTTTTTATTTATTATGCACAAAAAACGAAATTATAAAATAACACCGGGTAGAGGGTGTCTTCGTCTTGTGCGTGTGTTTGTGTGTGTGTCTTTTCCCCTCATAAACTTAGAAAAAAGAAAACATTACACACCAGTAAAAAAAAAAAAAGAAGTTAAATACAGGGAAAAAACTGTTACATTTTCCTTTTTGGTTCATTTTTTTTCTTCCATTTTGTTACAAATTTAAGGCAGCCATTTGTTTTTTTTTTTGTTGTTGTTGCTGTTTTCATCTATAAACTGTTCTGACTTTAAATTTGCTTTATTTTTCTTGTAAGTATACTTGGCGGGATTTTGTTACCCGCCTCCTGCAAATTCTAATCAAGTGATTATAGGCTATTGAATGCTTTTATACTACGATGTTGTACTTACATCTCAGCACCTAACCGGTTCTATTGGGCCATAAAACAGTTCGTCGCTGAAAAACGAGCACCTATTGCTGCAACCAACTAGCTTGCAAAGCGCCTTCATTTACATTAGCGCTTTTGTAGGCTGCCCTTTATGGATTGTTGTCACCAAAATTAGTTTTGGTAAAACTTATCGAAAGTTTAAATCCCATGCACGTGGCATCTGGTGTAAGGTATTCGGTAAAAGGTAATAATGTAATCCTGCTGTACTTTGACGGTGGTTATCGCTTTGCTATTTAATTAAGCGCTTGCGTGATCCTGGCACCATAAATTTGAAGTTAGCCACGGAGTGGACAACAGCATGAAAGAGCTCACAGAGCACAGCCTGCCTACTTGCAACTGGAAAGATATTTTAAAGTGGCCGCCAGGAGCAAATTAGTTATGTCGCCCCAGTGGCTCCTGATTAGTGCAGGAAACCCACTACCATGTAGGCTGTCTCGCAGCATTCAACACCCATACCTGCTGGCATTATCATAACAACCTCCAGGTTTGCAAAAATTTATACGATAATTTAGTGTTGGTTGCTGGCTGAAATTTAGACAAGTGTAAAGACCATGGTAAAAACAAAACAGAAAAAAACAGTGCCAGTAAAGTGCGTGTGTGTGTTGGGGGCGGGGGCAGCTTTTTCTTCAAAATGTTTAGCCAGACGACAAAGCCGGCTTTAGGCGTCTTGTAAAAAAGAAAAAAATTGAAAAAACAAAGGAAAAAATCCAGAAATTTTCAGCGACCACTTATTGGGAAATAAGGTGGTTTTCGCGTTTCCATGGGAGAAATGGATCTGTATAAACAAACAACATTCTGTTATGGAAGCAGAGAAGAACGAATGCGCATTGAAAGTTTTCCTCAGTTTCTTTTTAAGAAAAGCATAAATGTGGGGATAACCCTGCTGCATAGCTTTGCTTTAACTACCGCAATCTTTGGGCTCTACAGCAAGTAGTTGACAACAGTTAGCTCCCCTCACTTCTAGCTTGTGATAATCACAGTCACGCAAATCTGATTGTTTCAAGTGGAGCTCTTCTGCCATCATGTGCAGGGTCAATGTGCATTCTGCTGTAGGAAAAAATAAACAGCAAAAAAACAAAAAAAACAATCAAGTCATACGCTCGTGTTTTTCTGCTCTTTATAGCCTCAAACACAATTTCCATGACTGGTTTGTGAAATCGCTGCACATTTTCCAAGCTGCTGGCAGCTCTGCAACAGCACATTACTGTCCCATCTGTGACACCCCAGCACACATTTTGGGTACTACCATAACAACAGGCGTTGTGTCATTTTACTTTATCATTTCAGATATATCGCTCCAGTATGCACTCTTCTGCAATGCCACGTTTGTGAGGTTTCTTTGTGTCTTTTGTGAAATGCGCCTGTTATTAAATCTTACTATTGCGCATATAATTTGCTTTTACTCGTGACTGTTTCAAGCTTTGTGCTGAGTCGCTGTTAGCCTGCGGGCTAGGTGGGGAATGTGTCATAAAGCATTTTTGTGCGTGTTTGTCAGTGGTGTGACTTTGTGAAATGAGCTGACAATATAACGTGTGGGTGTTGTGTCTTTCTATGAAGCAAAAACCTGCCTTTGTTACACAATTTTAAGGTGTGAAAATTGGCTACACTTCTATTCATTATGTTGTCTATATTGTCTCCTCACTGCTAAACACCAGGGTATTGTTTATGCTGTGGTGTTGGATGAACACGTTCACTACAGTAATGTATCCACACCGCCAAGATTTTGTTTTGCACCAGTGTAATTTTTCTTTTGGAAAAAACCCCACAAAACAACCATCATTTACTCTGAGTATTTATTTCACCTACATTGACTATGTATATATATGTGTGTGTGTTTGCGTGTGTGTGTTTGTGTGTGTGTGTAAAAGCAAAAGGTTTTCTATCACCTTGACGCACAACCATTTTGTATACATTACACACATAACCAAAAGCGCAAAGTGATACAAATGTTGCCCTTGCCTTTGGAAATGATTCTGAACTGGAAACACAGCCTCGCGTGCGTTTGCTTTCACAGAGTAAACAAGCAGGCTAACCCTCTCCGTGGTTAAGGCATTTTAACAAACAGTTTAAAGCGTTTAAACACAGTCTGCTTTAGCAGCCAAGTTTTACAGTTGCTGAAATACAAAATATGCTGAGGTCTAACTCGTTTTAGCAGCTTCTTTATGTTAACGAGGAAAAGTCAACAACATTAACTAAACTACGGTTTAGTTTCAATCCAGTGGGTATAAAATATAACGCTATTGTTCTTCTGACTTTTAATGTAGGCTTTAAATTACGTGATACGAAAGTTGCACAACAGCCTACATTTATATTTGTTTTATATCCGTTTTATTCTACTTTGTTGAATAAAACGGCATGTTTTCCCCCCCATGTTTTATGCTTTTTACATGATAACTGTTATTATAATTTAGACATTATCTAATTAGCTTTCAGGATAGAAGAAACAAAATCACATTAAAAAAACTTTCTGGGCGTAAACACTTTCAAAACTCGTATATTGAATAGAGGAAATTATTTTCAAATACTTGTTTCCACTGCTACTCTGCGTGTGAAATAAGGATGACAATAATAATGGTAATAAAAACAAAGCAAAACAACAAACAATTAAAAAACAGTTAAAGTACTAATAATAACACAACCAAACATGTGCAAAGGAATTGAAACATTTATAGAAATACTACATGTGCGCAAGTAAGCAAATACCTATTTATTAGGCTATACATACGTAAAAGACACTTAATATAATTCTGTACACCACAACATAAATATCCTTGTAGGCCATCCATTTGCAATTCCCTCGTACAGTTGAACACATTATAAGGCAACACCCCGTTAAACAGCTAAGTGCTGCTTCGTTGGTTATTTCAGGTTACTTAAAGTTGACCAATTGCTTTAAAAAGATGTGGCATTATTATTACGATTAGTCTAATGAATTCTGGTGGATTTCAGCTGGAGCACAATGGTAATACAAAAACAAATCCAAATGAATAATCAGAGAATCCAAATTATGGTGGTAATGCTACAAAATCAGTAAAAGTCTTTTCCCAAAAGATGACAGTTTTATATTAAGCAGGTCAAAAGAAAAAAAGCAAAACAAAGCAAAAAGAAACAAAATTACTGGCCAATTACTTTTTGGGCTGCTCCACACATTCATCTGTACGATTTCTTTAAATTTCCAAGCGTAAAAAAATGTCCTCATTCCTGCTGAGGCTTTGCTTAAGAAAACAACACATCTTCTTACCCGCTTACAGCTTTTCTCGCTAAACCTGTAACAACAACAAAGCGGTTGGAGTTTTAAAAAGAAGCAAACAAAAAGAAAATACACAAATTGTACCATTTGGATCAAATCCAGGCGGCTTCATCTCCACAGCATAAGCTCCGAGGCGAAAAGAAACTCGAGGCATGGCTGAGTTAATTTGCTTTGAAGCATCTAAAAGTTTGTGCTGAACTAGAAATAAAACATCCAAAAGCCACGTAGTAAGAGCCTTTAAAATCACTGCAGCAAGAGCTGCCGTCCTTTGTTCTTCCTGGTATGGGCCTGCTGGTCTCACCCCCAGATGGTCACTAGGTGGCGCTCTTGCTCTACCAAAAACCCTTTACTCTTCCCAACTTGACCGCGCTGACGTCACGTCAGTCTGGAGCATCAAGGCCACTTCCACGCAGCTATTGGTCTGAAACTCACATGACATGTCTCCGAGCATCCATAATTATCTTACTGATATTTTTGCACCCCCCTCCAAAAGATGTCAGCATCCTACTGTCATTTTTCTCCCGGAGAATCCCGTAGTTTAGACCAGTGGAACACACCAAACGATTACTGTGTTACCAAATGCAAAAATGTCATGTCCGAATAACATAGCTCCCGGTAACTTCCTCATGGATTCCTTAATGGGAGGATCATCTTCCTTCAGGGGTGACAGTTATTCCAGCAACCCCGGAATGTACATCCACTCAGCTGCAGAGTACGGATATTCAGTGATGAGAAACAGTGGGAAGGTTGGACTGTCTTCACTCTCGAAAGGAGACGAGATTCTTACTCCGGGCGGTGTGTCGCTCAGCGGCTTCCAGGATGAGGCCTACCTGTCAACACAACTGGCCACATGGACCCCAGGCTCCAAAACCTCCAGGGACGAGCAACCTGTTGCCCAGTGTTTACAACCCTGCTTGTTTCCAATGGGTAGCGTCAAAGAGGAGGCGTTTTGTTGCCTCTACCAGGAAGACAGCAATAAGGGGAAACAGACAACAGAGTCAGCCACTTACATCCGGCTTGGGGACAATAGCTGCCGGCCTCAGCAAACTGCCTCCTCTTCCAGCGGATGTTTCAAGGTGTACAGCGGAGAGAGGCCGCCACAGGATGGTCGGCAGTTCCCCTCCAGTTTCTCTCTGACCCACTTGGCGACATCTGTTGAACCATCAGCAGAATCGACAATAAGTCGCAGCAAAGCGAAGGAGACAGCGAGAGAGCTTTCCAAAACAGAGGAGAGTCAGAGCAGGAAGGAAGAGAAGGCCAAGAGTGACAGCTGCACAGATATCTCGGACGGGGAATTAAAAGGTAGAATGCTAATTTACGCCCACCCCCACCTCCTCCCCCACCCCCAACTTTAACTCAGACACGTGCATATGTGTCAATACAATGCTCACGCGCACACGCAGGCTAGTTGTTGACGGTGTTACTAAAAGGATCTCACAGATGCAATAATTAATAACTTTAATGTAGCTTTGTGTTGGATATCAGTCACATGGTCTGTGTGGGGATTTGATAGCCTGGCCTAGGAGGGGGTACGGTGCTCGTGGCATTTAACACATTTCCATTAATGTGACAACGTGAGATGGGCAGTTATCATTAGAATAAACAGCCCCCCCTCCCCCCCCCCCCCCCCCGCTGCTCTCTCTTTCATACAAGCTCTGGTTATTTATTGACAGAAGTAACCATTTCATACCTCAAAATGCTGGCATTGAGCCAGTATTAAATTGTACGGGTTGTCTCCAAAGTTTTAAACTTTTCGACCCAAATTATTGAGGATATAATAATAATAATAATAATAATTATAATAATTATAATAATAATAATAGACAGAATGTAAGCTCATGAAAGGCCCCTAATTTTACGGTGTACGTAAAACATTTAAATTAAAATAACACGTTGGACTTTCAGGAAAGAAAGCTTATATTTGTCAAATATATACGTTATATTTGACAATATTTGCAGAGGTAAATTAATTCTGTAAGACCACAATCTGTTGACCGTTTTTTTGTATTTCTAGTTATTATTATTATCATTATTAGTAGTAGTTATAGTAATAGCAGCAGCATTAGTATTAGTAGTATTAGTCGTAGTGGCACTGGTATAACACCCGTAATGAATCTTAAAGTCATTACATATTTTTCATTAGCTTATTTAAAGTGAATTTCACCTTGTTATTTATAGATGAAGATCAACACTATGCTTTTATTTTTAATTTAATTGGACAATGCTGTAGGGTCTGTGTTTGTGTATATTTGGATTTGGGAGGGGAGAGTGTGTGTGTGTGTGTGTGGGTGGGTGTGTTTGTCTGTGTGTTTGCGCGTGTTCGTGAGAATTAAATTACGGAATTAAATGTTTTGGTAATGATTAAATGTTGGGCACACAGCGACTGTTCACATTAGGGTAATTATTAAAATAATCTGCCTGTGTTTATACGTGTGTGGCGTTGGGGGAGGGGGGGGGGCGTTATTCCCTAGAGTCTGCGAGCTAATCAAGAAATTAAGTGAGTGTGCAGAGCAGCAGTGTGATTTTTTCCGCTGCTGGTACTTCGATGCGTTGTTTCTTTGTTCTTACCCCCCCTAAATCTGGAATCATGCTGCAGAGACCGCCTCTTGTTTTAAGATGAAGCTAAAAAAAAAAATAATATATATATATATATTTATATCTGGCTCCGGTGTGCAAAGGTAATAAAGTTTTATGGGAGTCTGAGGTCCAACATAGACAAAGGAAGTGCCTGCACACCCTCGTTTGATTCGATCTAATTATAGTTGTACATCTTACAGAAGCAATTTGCAAGCAGTAGGAGTTGTTAGAAAAGGTGCGATGCTCGATGTAGTTCATTTGTTCGAGTAAGAGCGGAGGTAAAGCACCCAGGTGAAGCTGTTCTCTTAAACTACTAATTTGGATTTCTTTGAACGGTATTGAATGTGCATTTAGAAGATGTGGGCGTGTACCTAGCATCTACTGTACTGATCAACGCCTTGAAGATCTCCGCGCAAAATGTCGGGATTTGGCCGCCTGTTTGCTCACTGTCCTATTTCTCTCGCTCCGATAGATGATTTGTCCGCGGAAAAGACAACGGGAAGCTGGTTAAAAGCCAAAAGTGGAAGGAAGAAGCGCTGTCCCTACACAAAGCATCAGACGCTGGAGCTGGAAAAGGAGTTCTTGTTCAACATGTATCTGTCTCGGGAGCGCCGCCTGGAGATCAGCCGGAGTATCAACCTGACCGACAGACAGGTCAAGATCTGGTTCCAAAACAGACGCATGAAGCTCAAGAAGCTAAACAGGGAGAGCCGAGAAAGGGAACAGAGCGCAGTCTACAACTACTCCTGAGGAGATATTTAACAAACACACACACACACACACACACACACACACACACACACACACACACACACACACACACACACACACACACACACACACATACACACCATGCATCACATCCATTACTTCCAAATCACGCACACAGACAGCCCAGACATGCATGTGTCTATAAATGATACATCCAGCAATTATTATTATTATTTAGTGATCTTTCTCATTATGTGCACACTAAGCACACGTGCACACATCGTGCCTTCCTATATGAACGATCTAAACGCTGCAACTTGCAGACCAGACCTGAGTTTCCAGGTAAACAGTTGTAGCGACACTGGAACAGTAAGGTGCTATTAGCTTGTAATTTAAATTGTAATATAACATGAACCAAAGGAAAGGAGGAGGCAACATTCACGCAGTCTATAAATAACTAGTGGCATGTAAGCGGTTTCAATTTGCTGAGCTTCAATGAATGAAATGCCACTTGTGCTGCTGCTTCTTCCTTGGTGTGTAATGTGCATGCACGCGATGATATTAAACTATGTCATGGCGAACGATTCCAAAACAATAAAAAGAAAGAAAGGAGGGCGAATTAGATAAAAAGCTATTTCCAACTTTGTCCTTCCCCTAGCATAGCAATGAAAATGAGAGGGAGGGAGAGACACTGCGGATGAGAGAAGGAGATCATGGCAGTTTTAATAGAAGTGAGAGACCATAACGTTGATTTAAATATTATCCAGGTGACCACAGTAAGTCAAGGTCATAAAATTCTAATGTCAGGTTCGCCCTGGAAAGCGTTGGGGGTGGATTTTATGATCTGCAAATATAATGTGCTGCAGCAGTAAAGATGCGTTTAAAGGTGTGTGTGGAGGAGGGCTAATCCACACAGCAGAGACTGCAGTGTGCAGGACCCAGCCGAGAGGCGCTGGGCTGGCGGGAGCAGGCGCCTCCATCCCGGGGATAGTGGAGCTTCATGGGCACAGGAGATCAGGAGGATGGTGGATAAAGGGACAGCGACCGCGACGGCTCCAGTGACAATAATAACAAGCGTCACGACAAACACGTGGATAACAAAGCGCATCTGGAAGGCGTCTACCGAAGGCAAGTGAAGGTAGGACCCGGTTTTACGTAATATTTTTATTTCCTGTTTCGGGAAGTGTGGCGCATCTGTCAGAGAAGTTTGCCTGACAGCTCATTTGGCACGCACGGTGCACGCCTGCTCGCGTCCCTAGTTTGAATGAAGTTGTTTCAGCGTGCTGCTGATTCAGACTCAGTTTCTTTCTCGAATCACGATGCTGGTTGCTGATTGTTTTTTGTTTGTTTGTTTGTTTTTTGGATTAGCTCTGGAGATTTGCTGGACTGGATTTTTATGCTATGTTTACTTAACGAATGGACTAAATTTACGCTGCGCTGACACAAAAATATTTATGAATTTAGAAGAGTAGCAAAATTACATGGATGCGGTTTTTGAGACTATACAATTAAAAGTCATGGCACATCTAATGTGTCTACAGGCAGCGTAAAAAGCAGCATGATTGCAGACCACAGTGTGTATCATACTCGCCTTTTCCCTTAGTGCTGGATAGTGTTAATCCCCACTTGGCTTTTCATGCATTTTCCTTTCCATGGATATTTTTTGTAAACCCCTTTGCGCGAAGCTGAAGCGTGGTTTAGGTAGTTTCATGTTGTTGGGGTTGGCTTCCTGGCTCGGCAACAAGAAACTGCCTTGATTACGTCAGTTCGTCTTCATCAAGGGCACAATTTCCGCCGAATTACCCCCTATAGTCACACAGGTCCCCGCAAATGGCATTGTAAATGAACTGAGTTGCAATACCTTGGACAGAGACGTTTTCTTTCTTTGCTGTTATTTTTGTGGTGGGCTGTAAAACCTCCCAGAGGCTCTCAGAAGGAGAATAGGTTGTAAACAACATGGGGTAAAGTTTTAGACTGCGTAGTGGTGCATCTGTCATCACTGGCTGTCCGTTTAGGTTTCGTTGTTTCAGCTGTTTTATGATGAGATAGAAAGAGACATGGATACATAGGTGGCTGGATATGTCGCGGACTTAACTAATTAAATTATCAGAGAAATGTGTAACAGGAAATTTATGCAAATGACACTTCTATGACTTCATCTGAGCTCTTTCTTCTGCTAATGCACAACTTCTTCTAAGTGTTTAAAACCAAAAGGCCGTTCAGTTCCAACTTCCAATTTGCTGGGGAGTTTTGCAGTGATAGGCTCCCTAACGTCAACACAAAAAGCTTCTTTGTCATTTCCAGCAATAGCTACTGATGACTGTTTACTAGACTGCACACAAACAACAATCGCTCCGTTAGCCACATTTTGCATTGAAGATTCAAAATGTTACATTTTTAGTACAAATTCCTACAAAAATCTTTGTGTGTTTGGGTGCATTAAAGAACGTGGGTCTTTTATGTCTTTCAGTTGTGTTTCCTCTGGTTCTACTTAAATGTTTGAAACTTTATTTTGTCCTTCCACGGACCACTATGCGGAAGAATCTCCTGGGTTTTACACTGTTTCATCTGTTATGTGTTGTGGCCAAGTTTCCAAAACATAATGGGCACACATTATATCTTTATTGGAGTCGACCCGCAACACTTTCAGTGTAAATTTTTGGACTAATGGCACTTAAATTAATTAAATTATCAGAGTAAGCATTTATTTCTAGCGTGAATTAAGAAATGAATGATATTTATGTTTGAATCTAAACTCACTGACGGTCACAGATAGTTGGAAAAACTTTATGTCTTGTAATAAACATTGTTTTATTATAGTTAAAATTAATGGGAAAAGGAAAATAGAAAAGAAACTCTTAAAAATGACTAGATATCTGTCAGGAAAGGGGTTTTAGCTTACGTCAGCGGTCAATGAAACACAATAACTTATTGATGAAAGAGCTGCTTATTCTGCAAGCACTTTTTTTTATTTTGGAAAGGCAGTCCAGTGTTTATGCTAGTCACTATCTCCCCTTGTTTTCTCAGCCCCCTCCTTGTAGCGGTAGCACCAGTGGAAGAGACAGTCTGGAATCCAAAGTCACTTTCATTCAGCTCAGTGAATGAGTGTCTCTCTTGGAATGCACCACTGACAAAGACTTTACAGCGCCGAAAACAGCCCCGAGAGCTGCACAGATTCACCCTAAAACCATATACACATAAAGTAATTTATTCCACTTTGTAGTTCGGCACAGGAACTGAAGCCTTTACACAACCGCTTCCTTTGGGACAGCTCAAGATGTCTCACTGCTACTGGCATGATCAGACATGAACCAAAAATGCCAACAGATTTTCTTTCTTTCTTTGTTTCCCCCTTTACCTTTTTTCTACTGTCATTTTCCACATTCATGTTTATTTTATGATAGAGAGGAAAAATTAGCACTTTGAGATTTATTTTATTTTATTTTTACCAAGAAGATTGATTAGGGTTTGAATTCAGAAGGGGCGTTATTCTTCTTTCTTTGGGATGGAAAATGTGAAGACTGCTCCATTGCCAATTTGTGCGGTGCAGGAATGACTCTTAAAATGCGCCTTTTTTGGATTTGTTGAATGACATTTAAGAACTGAGAACGCTTTCCAGCCTCAGGATGGATTATAAAGGAAAGCCTCAATAAGAATAGAATTTTTCTGTAAATAAGTGACACTCGTGGCCTTAGAAAAAGGGGGAGCGAGAGAGAAAGAGACTTACGCTGTTTTATATATTAACTGCGCGAAAAATTCAAAGTGTCACAGGCCTGCTCAGCAGCACTGTAATTGATCAGCTTCAGAACTGATCACTTTACGGACTGTTTTGACACAAAATGCGTTTGAAAGACATTTTTAAAGCTAATTTATTAGAATAAGAATGTCAGTTATTGATTCCCTGAAACACTGGCGTGCAGCGGTTATCGTGGGATTTCCATCCAATACAGGAGGAGAAATACAGATATATATTTTGTTATTGTAGTTTTTGGCCTTTCAGTAGATCATAGTGCAACTCTGTGGTCCTTAATATTCAGCGTTTGGGGCGTTATGAACACATTGTGTTAACGTTTCTTTGAATTATCTTTATGTGTAGTTTAAACAGATAACATAGCCTAGATGTCGTATTTGAACGTGACTAATTTTGGAAAAGAGAAATGAGACGCGTTTATTTCGTATTTGTGTGTGTGTGTGTGTGTGTGTGTGTGTGCGCGCGCGCGTGTGAGGGAGAACTTGTGATGTCTTGTGATGTCTTGTCAATTTTGCAGTAGTTATCTTGCTCTTACCATTCATTTGACAGAATAATTACTTTCAGTATCTCTGCTCTAAACAGGAAAAATAATGCGCTTCCATTCTGGCACTAAACGGGCACATCTAATAAAAGAAAGTCATGTTCCAACGCACACCTCGTATCCATGTTTATTATCTCCCCCGGACTGGTTCTGCTGATAAAAGCAGACTCAGATACAGAGTTCTGACTCACCTGACATTCAAGATGAGTCAGTTTATTTGAATAAGCATTGGGTGTAATATCAGCTTGAGTAGCCTTGCGGGTTTATAAAGATACACTTACAGAGAAATTCGCAATCTGCACGCACGGCGATTTTCATGCAAGTGTACTAATGATCTTAGCTGAAGTTCCCCTTCTAATATTATCACGAGAAGCATGTTGCTGTATTCATCTACAATCATTTTTACGGTGAAAGGTGGATGCTGAATTAAAAGCGCGGGCGCGAAGATTATTTTGACGGAGCAAACACTGATTACATGCCCGTGAGTCCGTATTAATAAGAAGCATCAGTGCACTGCAGTCGCGCAAACACACGCTTTGGTTCATGCGGCACAAATAGGCCTTTTGAAAATTGCAACAACACCTGTATTTGTGTGCATTTTTGTCCATGGGAAATGTGTGTAAGTGATACATGTCAGAATCTGACGTACATATAGGTTGGCGGAGTTATAGTTAGTCTATTGTCATCATTGATTCAAGAAGCTGTTTTTTGGATAAATTATTTTGCATGTCAGAAGGACAAACGACTGTAGTAAAATGAAAACGTAGACTCGCTGTGATCTCACAGAGTCTGTGGATAGACAGTGTCATATATTGCATAGATTACAAATCGTTATTAGTCCAATATGAGATTTTTTGAAACCTCAGCTATAAAACCAACTGTGCCACAGACGACTACAAATCCCATAAACAAGCCAAACAGACGGTTCTGTATTTTTCTCCAGTTAAACTTTTACCCGTATACTTTTGATTTGTCAAGTCTCACTCTTAATTTGCTGATTTTTGAGTGCATGTGTTCAACAAAAACAGTCCCTTCTGCTACACGAGGTTGTGTTTCTCTATAAAATGTTATGGAACTAAAATAGGACAGTGTTTGGTCATGCAACAAAAGGGGATTTTCTGCGACAGTATATTATCAGCTGGTTCAGCTGCAAGTGTAGTTGTGCCCTGGAAGAATAGAGATTAAGGACAGACATTCATAAAAAGAAAAAGAAACGACAAACAACAAATGGTTTATATAAAAATAGTTTTTATTTATAGCAAAATAAGACGGATACAAGAGTGAAATGGATGATGGGAGATAATTGAACAGAAGTTACTTCTCATTAATGACACACACACACACACACACGGAAACAAAAGCACACAATAAACAATAAAAATGATATTAGTGCATTGTTGCAGACATCGATACAGGATATGTTCGAATCCGTCTTTACGATCAGATTGTAATAATTGCTCATTGAGTACTATTTCATTATACTCGGAATATCTGAAATCAGCAGACTGCAAATGTTAAACCTCCAGAAAAAGAAATGAATAAAATAACTGATAGCACATTTGGTAAATTTCTTTGTCTCGATTAACCTGTGGTTGAACAATAACTAGGCTCAGAGCTGCGCATTCATCAGCACACACCAGGACACCGTTTGGAGTTATCCGGGTTAAGGTCCGCCGTCTGGTCTTTTAAATTTCATGGTTGAATCTGAACTCAGCAGCGAGGACAAACGTAGGACTTCCTACTGCGTATATGATTTGATGCACGTTGTTTTACACCACGAAGCCAAAATGTTGAATATCGTGTCGGTTATTAAAAAAATGTAAAACTGTATTTTGACTCTAGCTGATCTAGGATAATTACCGGCATCGTTTATTCCTCAGCCTGGCGCTGACAAAGGCTCGTTTTTAAACGCCAACGCTACAGATGTTGCAAATTGGGATAATTATCATTTTATTACAATCATTATTTTCGCTCTTTTTTCTTTCTTTCTTTCTTGTTAAACTCTTATTTCGTATATTTCAGTGCATGAAACTGTATTTTAGCCCAGTTTGAGATAATGTTTGCCACAGTGAAGTGTGACTTGTTCTTCCACACTACATATTTTCTCTTTTGCACATAACTGTCAGCTTTGCACGTCCCAAAATGGATTTCTTGTCTTAAAGGTTGCAATCAGTTAACCTTTTTTTTGCCAGTTCAATTCCTTTTATAAACAACTAGTCCACAGCAGAAACGATATTATCTGAAACATTAAACCTGCAGTTAAACATAAAAGAATAAATACTACATAAAACAGATTAAATAGTCCAAATACAACATATGGTCAAAATATAAGTAAATATAACACAGTGGGTAAAAGCACACACACACACACACACACACACACACACACACACACACACACACACACACGCACATTGGAACGTGTGCAGCTTTTAGGAATTAATAATTCATCATCTATATTATCTACCTCATCCACCCTCCGCAAAGGCATTATATTTTCTTGTGTATGACGCCGGTGGCTACTTTAGTTGTTCCTGTATCACCGTATAGTTGATCCTCTTCTATTTGCTGTGTCTCTGCATCTCTATTTAAGAATCAATTCTTGTTTCAGTGCCTGCTAACTGACAAGCTACCCGTGTGCATTGCAGGGCAAAAACAGCAGACTCATGCCACTGGATACAACAGTAACATTACCCCTGTCATTAAAGCTTCCACAGTTAGCCTTTTAATGAACCATTTTACCTCTTCTGCTTCCAAAGTCCGCTCTGCTGTCTTCGGCCCTTCTGGTTTCATATGAATTGTTTCAGAGACTCATTATGGCGGTGGTGTTGGTGGTGCCGGTTTAATGTTGAGCGAGGAACTCGGATGCAGTCTTATTAACGACACGTTTATGAACAATCAAATGGTCCTCGTTAAAATTTATTGATGGGCATAAAAACATGAACGGTCACTAGCCGAATATAGCGCGCCGTAGTGGGCTGCTTGTCAAGAATCTGAATCCCCTCCTCTCCTATCTCTGCAGATCCCATTTAGGAAATGTTTGCTGTATCCTCGTTAAAACAGTGCAAACTTTATTACTGGCGTATGCTACATCCTCGTATTTTTGATTCAGTCTCTCCAGTATCCAATCCAGCTATATCTAGCCACCGTGGAGGCTTTTCTCCTAAATAAGAGATAAACATCATGCCGCAGGAAACTCTAACACCTCCGCTTTATCAAACGTGCTTTAAAGCGTGGTTTGATAAAGATATAAGAGTAAACGATTCGGTAAACACTTTGCTGTAATACTATCCCTTGCAACAGCATGGCGCTACGGTAGATTTTGCCAGACAAAGATTGATTACACCATCAAATAGTGCCTTGCTCTCAGACGTAATGTGCGCAGGTCTGTTGTGCGACTAGAGGTAGATCCACTACTAGAACTACAAATGCGTATTTTCTTCATGGAAGAACATAGTTTTTGCAATTGCCTCTGTGCCTCCGAGAAAAAATAGTAAAAGATTATATTCTTTAATCCGATTTATGTGCACTGGTATCCCAAGATAAGTGGCGCATTGATCCACTGTACAATTTTTGTGGGGGTAAATATAATCACGTGTTAGTGAGGCAGCCAATAGCAGCCAGGGAAGCGTTGAGAAATAATTACCTGCCTTGATTGTTCTATGGCTAGATAAAAAAAAGTACACATACACTCCATATAATAATCGGATGCATGTAAAAGAGTCGGTGAAGCTTCGACATGTCGACCACGGGTCCCATAAGTAATTATTATGTGGACTCCTTGATCAACCATGAAAACGACGATGTCCTTACTGCAACTCGTTTTTCGGCGCCCGGTTCGCACCCAGCCGGTCCTCGTCCGACGTCGCTAGTACCGGAGTGTGCTGACTATCCTTCCTGCAGCTTCGCACCCAAGCCACCCGTCTTCTCCACCTCCTGGGCCCCTGTACACTCCCAGTCATCAGTGGTTTACCATCCATACAGTCACCAACCTCACTTAGGCACAGACTCGAGATATGTGCGGTCATGGCTGGAGCCGATATCAGGCGCCGTGCCTTTCCATGGCTATCCGGGGAACAACAGGCACTACGGGCTGAAGCCCGATGCATTTCAAGAACACAGAGCCGGCGAGTGTCTCGGCTCCAGCGGACGGACCTACACGGATTATCTGTACTGCTCATCCACTGACACGCGAGACAAGACGCAGCAGAATCTCCCCTCTCCTGAGTCGGAGCTCATGGCTTCAGGAAAACATAAAGATGAGAAACCGGAGCTAGATCCGAGTAAGTTCAAGCGCCTATACGATCTTTTTACAGCCCGGTGGGTGTTTTGTTTTTGGGATAGCTTTAAATATGCTTTTGCTCAGAGCCATTTGAACGTCCTGCTTAAAAGTAAAATTATAAACTGCTACATTCTTCCTTTCAGCTCAGCTCTGAATCGCCCCTTGCTATAGGGAGCAAGCTTTAGGAACTATAAAAGACAAATGCTTCTGGGCTAATATTGGGGCAATAAAACCAGACGGGGTCGTTAACATGGACTCAAACCTACAGGAAGACGTTGAATTTGGGAGGATGTTGCATAAGCTTAAAACACACGAAAGGTGTTCTAAAGTGAACGGCCTAAACTCACTTAAGAATCCATATTCGTCATATGGTGCATTGTTACGACTTTATGTTGACCCCGTGCTATTAAAGATGGCACAGCAAACCCTGTAAGCCGAATTGAAGTCCTGTATTGTTAGATGGGCCCTTCCTGTGTGGAAAAGCCACATTCTGGCTCTGTTTGACCCCCAGACGGAATAAAAGGAAATAAAAACGTTTCTCACATAGTGAAAAGATTACATACATGTGCATGGATGCACATGACTATCTGCTCTCTTCTCTGGGTCCAAAACAAATTCACATGACTCTTTTTTCCAGACAACTTGAGGAATGTAGGGACATACTCGAGGACTTTCACCACGGACCTGTAAAGGCTTGAACCACGGGCCATTTTATGGGCCAATAAAGTGAATAAGCGCATTGAGTATTTTACGACGGTGTTACTCACAAGTTAAGGGGACAAGGAAGCAAATCAGTGGAGGCTTGGAAAGTGTAAGACTGAGAATCTTTCCTTAAAATGTTAACTGGCAGTTTAGCTTTAACGACGTACACCCAAACTTGTGTGTGCCTTGGCACTGCTTTCAGTTTGTTGCACTTTCTGATGAGTCCACAGATTTCCTATAAATCCAGGGGCTCATTCATTTTATTTTTTTAAAGGCCGAACAGTTAATGCCGATGTCATCTGTTTCACAATTTAGCTTTGCATTGTTATTCTGTCCTTATTATTGTTGCTGTTTGTATTTGCAGATAACCCTGTGGCAAATTGGATACACGCCCGCTCCACAAGGAAGAAGCGATGTCCTTACACAAAGTACCAGACTCTCGAACTGGAAAAGGAGTTTCTGTTCAATATGTACCTTACAAGAGACCGCCGATACGAGGTCGCCAGAGTGCTGAATCTGACTGAGAGGCAGGTCAAAATCTGGTTTCAGAACCGGAGAATGAAGATGAAGAAGATGAACAAAGAAAAGACCGACAGCAAAGACCAATAATGTGGACTACAGTGACAAAACAACCAACAATAACCACTAGTCTAATGGACAGCACAGATGTACCAAAACACACGACAAGCGCCCCTCTCCTCCTTATATTTATCACTTTTGTTGGATTTTTTTGTATTAACCTTAACTTCCAGACTGTTTGATGCCGAATATTATTTTTTAGTGTACATTTATGTGTCGAGCGTTTAAGTAGGAAAAAAAGAAAGAAAACGGAAAACTTCTAAGGAGAGAAATACACTCTGCTTTCACTTCGAGATATGTGGTTTTGTAAAAGAAATGAAAGAAGCGCAGTTTGGATACGCTTAAACTGTCCGGAGAAAGAGAATACTTGAATTCCTTTGAATTTCACAAAAACCATAATTTATGCTGTGAATGTTTTCTTTCATGTTTATTTTCTTTGTACGCTGTTGTGCAGGTGTAGTATTTTGTACAGCAACATCTGCGGTCGACATGTTTGTCTTGTATTTTTGTGATAGTTGTAGCTGTATTTGTGCACATTTTCTTTCTCCTTTTTTTGACTGTAGCCTACGAGTTTAATTATAGAGTGTAGATATAGACCTCTGCAAATATAACCATAATCCCAAGCTCTTGTTTTCTGTGTTTATTGTGGCTTTGCAGACTGTGTATTTTCGATCGGATTTAGCAGACTACACGGCTGTACAGGGAAATCCAAAACAGTTTTACCCCGCACTAGAAAATAAGTAAATGGATGCAAAAATTTCTGAAATTCAAAACAACCTGAAAACGTACCCAACCGAAACTACATGACGCAAAAGACGGTTGATTTATTAATAAAAATTCCTTCACATTTTTTAGTACGCACTGTTTTGGCCGCTGAGTGTGTCCCCATTACATTAAAGGCCTAAATGAGCTCTTCTATTACAAATAATGGCGATATAGAAAGTTTGGCGTAGCCTATTTAAGGCTTTACTGGGACAACATTGTTTTAATTTTGCTTGGCATCGCTTTGCACTTGTGTCTTAATTACAGCTTCTTAGTCGCAAACATTCCCATTCATACCGTTTTATATGTTATCCATTTTAGGAGAGTAAGTAGACCTGAAAAAAAAAACTCTCAACGCAGAATTAATTATGTTTTATATCAATAACAAAATACATAGTAATTTTTTTATATATAAATTTCTCCCAAACGCACGTCTCTTTAAGGTTTTAAAATGTACCAAAACATTTTAAATGCTGGCTTAAAATAAGTGATCCTTTTTAAATTGTTCATAGAATCTTCTTATAGGGACAGAGATGAATGCACGAGGTTTTTACCATATTTATTTCTTTATTAGGTCAATGCCCCATATGAGTTGAAAGTAGCCCATCAACCACATTTGTGCACTTTCCGAAAGAGTACTAAAAGAAAACATTGACCACTTAGGCAATTAAACACAATTTCTAACTAAATGTTAATTGCATGGCCAGGCTCATTGGCGATCAGAAAATCTGAGACCAGATTTGAAAAGTTTGGTTTTAAGCGAGAGACAGTTTCCCATGTCTCGCATTTGTTTCCTGGGATAGATCTAAATTGCCTTTTTGTGGTGGCAAACAATACGGGCAGGATGCTGTAATTTCAAAGCCCAATCCAGTGCATTTCCGCTCTGCTTGGACAAAAATGCCAGTTTTACAGCCCCTGTTGGAGCTCGGCTGTTTGTCTCAAATGCAGACCAACAAAGCAAACTCGACTAACTGGCTAGACGTCTGGGCTAAATTACTTTATGGTTTTAATGGACGCTGGTGGTGGACTCGTTCAAAGGAGAAGCATGCGCACTGTTCTGGGGACTTTTGCCTGACTGGGCCAGCCGCAAAACCCCCTGCACTTCATCATATGAGTCGTCTATTAGTCTACAATTAGATGGGAAAAGTCAATAACCATTGTGCATAAATGTGAGTGCTGCAGAGCGCTATTATCTCTTGTATAAAAGTGATCAGCTGCCACGACAGGAAACGACAGCACAGCAACTATTTCAAGTCTACAGACAAGCAAGACGAAGACAGAAGGCGCGTGTTTTATAGATTCCACAGTAATTAACTGCTTTAACTTTATTTAAAGAAAAATACAGGATGCACACATCCTCTATACATTCAACCCTTTCTGGCCACATAGCAGTTGTCGCTGATTGGTGGAGTTATTCAGGTTTAATGACACATTTCGACACTAGATGACGCTGTAGGTCCACGTTTTGAGGAGTGTGTCTGAGTTGAAGAGCTTTTTTACAGCTCTGTGGCTTGGCTGAAGAGTGAAGAGTAACCTATCGATGACAAAATGACAGATATGGCCACCAACCACATTTTGTGTAATAGGCCACAGAACAGCAATCCGGAATGCAGCCAGCTGGTTGTTGTGCTGGCCAAACAATCTGTGCAAATATAGTTTTCTTTTTTTCACTTCAGAAAAAAAGATTATGCTTTTGTTATTTACTCGTTTTTTGTAGCTTCTTTCATTGTCTGTGAATTTATGAGTTAATACGGCTGTTTTGTGGGTGGTAGTTGTGTGCTCAATTCTAAAAACGCAAAATCATATCTGCAATATACATGCAGTACATGTTCATAGCCTTTTACAAAAACGTAATTAAGCATAATACATAATAATGCATAATCTGTGTGTTTTTATATTTGCTGCCTCTGCTTTTCAAGCTGTAAATTCAAACCAGACTGAGACACTTTATTTTTTAAAATTTAAAAAATCCACAATTAATAAAGAGCCGAAAATCACATTCATCCAGAGACGACTTTATTAGCAGTTTTTAAACAGTTGCATCTGTAACATAAAATCAGTGCAATAAATAAATGGCAACAAAGCAACACATCGATAACAAAATCAACAAAAGCATAAACCGCTGCATCAATAATAATAATAATAATAATAATAATAATAATAATAATAATAATAATAATAATAATAATAATAATAATAATAATAATA